CTCCTTATTACTGGTTCCCATATTGTATTCATTTCTATGCTTGGTCGGCTCAGGAGATTTTTGTGGCCTAGCATATGTGCTGATTCCTTAAGTTTACGAATTTTCCAATGGCGTTCTTTGTCTATGATCTCAACCTGATCCCACAGAGGGCGGTAATGTACATAATACCTCATCTCAGGAATATAGACAAATATTTTAACTGCTATTAGAAATATCCACTGCGGGTTGTTTTTGTCAAGGTGATAAGATTCTGTTTTTGTCTTTTTTTCAAAGGTAATATCACTGTTGAAAAGGTGACGAGATTAAGGAGAATGAGATAATCACGGTAAACAGTGGACCATGGTGGCAACAGCTGAGATCCCTGTCTTTGTGCAATTAATTGGCTGCGTTCTTCCGTGTGAGATCTTGGCTGTATATCATAACTGAATATTGGGTGTAGGAGCAAAAACATTCACTATTGTTTGTGGTGTTATTGCTGGTTTAGTAGGTAGAGGAAAACGAACAAATCTTTATCTACCGACTTCTATAAACGAGACCCTCGCTCCGAAATGATTGTAAATATTTCGATAATCAAAACTCTGACAGTATGAACGGCTTTAATGACTATAATATTCAGTATAAAACAAGCGTAATGTGTGTCCATGAAAACATAATAAGGCAATGATAACAAAAGTAGAAATGAAGTCAATAACAATACCATTCAGAGTGAGGATTGTCTGGTTGTCAGTTAAGAAAGAGACAAAGGAGGAAGCTGAGTAGATATTATGTTTGCACGAAAATCGATAATGGCTTCCGACGTTAAACAGCTTTCTAATACTTCTTTTCTATCTTTTGACGTCAAAGAGGTTCTTGATCATCCGTTCCAATCAATACTTCGTTTCAATCAATATTCATGATTGAAATTAACAATATCAAAGTCTTTGGAGGTTTGCTATGTGAGCGGTCAGATCGGATATGACACCAACGTACTTGCTTTTCTAATCCCAGTAAAAGTAATAGAGTTGACTTTCATATCTTATAAAAAACCCATTGAGATCATGGCTCTCCACTTCCCCCTATCCCTTGTAGCTCTCAATAAGTTTTGTCCCTTTGCTACTTCCCATGTTCTGTCATCCACTTGATTAAGCCCGCCAGGTATGCCATTCTTTGCTTTCCCTTCTCTCGCTTTCCCCCTATTCGACCCTTGAGTATCAGATTCTCCAGGCCCTCCTTTCTCATTACTTATCCCAGAAATTTCAGCTGCCTCATCTTGATGTTAAGTATAAGCATCCTTCTTGTTTCTATTCTCTCCTGTAGAATCAGATTCCTACATTTTTTTAAATCTTAAATTTTGTGCAAGTTAAACACATAGAGGATCCCAGCCATATATAACAACTGATGTATTTTGATTGGTTGTATAATATTAATTAGGTGTCGTCAACTACGTCCGAAGGTACCGACCCAAATTTTGACCTCTAGTTGACGCCATAAAATGTAAACATGTTTACGAGCCTCCCCACGTGACCAAGAGAACTAATAAAAACGAAACTTCGACGCGACTTGGTCAGTGGGCACTTAAAATATTGAAACCAATTCACTTGACTTCATTGGAAATCAACACAGCAAAGGAGACGAACTTTATCTTCAATACAACAACAAACTTTGTCAACCATCTCCAAGCTTAACGCTCACTCCCACAAAATATTCCATTCCACAAGAATCTCTGGTTAATGAGCGATAACAATCAGTGAGTCAAGAACAATACTTTTTTTCTATTTAATACACAAAAAAACATCTGTTTAATTTTCCTATAAAAACAAATATAGCTAACTAAACCTTGTCATTTTCACACATACAGTACAGTAGCTCAAATTCTTTCAGTAACACACACCAAAGAACTCTATTGTGTTTATCAACTTTTGCACTATATTATGTATTTGTTGTGTTTATAAAAAAATATTTATTGTTGAACAAATTCACATTTTCTTCTACTTGATTATTTCTCTTGTTGTTGTCTTTGTTACATTTGATATTGTAAAAATTGTAGAGGGTCAGTTTTTATTTCTATTTATAACCAATACAAATTGGCTGACCCACTATACTCCAAAACCTCACACGCTCGGTCCATGGTATCCTTAGCATCATTCTGTAGAACCATACCTACCTTACCTCGAGTCTCTTCTTCATCTTTGAGGAGACTGTCTAATATTCGCTGCCGTAAAGGAGGACAGATGTCAAGTAGCAGTTCAGTACTCTTTTCTTTGTTATCGAATTAATTCTTCTGTCTCTTAATACTCTGCCCAACTTTTGGAATGCGTCTTTGTCTATCCCAATACGTCTTCGGGTCTCAGCGCCGTCCTCTGTCAAAACCCTTCCCAGATATTTAAACTCCCGTTCTGCTTGATTTTAATGTCTCCGACCTTTAAATTGCATTTGGGATTCATCCCTTTTACTGAGTAGCATAAAAACACTATTTCGCACAATGGAGTATTTTTCAAAGAAATAAAAGAAAATTATTTTCTTTCAAGTTGTAAAGATTTTAGATAAAACATGTTATTAATCAAAAACAAAATTCTTTTGGTCAGTAAGTTTTTCGCTGACCTCTAAATTCTCACCATTCGTGGGGTTCAACGCTTGCACCGACTGCTATTTTAATCTATATGCCATAATTATTTTATAATTATTTCTACTGACGTCTTGTAAAAGTGCACAATCGTTTATCTGTCTCAAAACACCTGAAGATGGCCGGAAAGTACACGGTCGAAACATTATGCTTATAATAATATTTTTAATAGAACAATAGTAGAAATAAATCAAAGTATAATGTCAATTCGTCATCTAAAAAATCAAACGAAAATGAACACAATCTTCTTTCTCCATTTCCATCCATCCAAGATGTCCTTGTACCATACACATTAGATAAACTTCATGTATATCTACCTTTTCGTGTTTATCTACTATTACAGTCTTCCAAAGAACTTTATGCCTAAGATAGATTTGAAAGCCTTCCAATCACAAACTGATCGACAAAAAGAAACTAAAGAGAAATTCTCTTATTAACGATATTTTTTTTTAATTCAACTTATTGGGTCTCATATTGGACGTTCATGATGAAATAGATCATGGCGCTCCACGCTCTACCATGAATTTTTACTTTTTTGAATGATGAGTGTTTTTCGATCGCTTTATCCGCGGTTTGGAATTTAGAATTGTACTCGGAGTGTTGTTGCAAACCAAATTTATAAAACCCAGTCTGCTTCGTTATTTAACAATGGTTAGAGTCATACCTTTACCAAGGGTATTAGTGAGGAAATAACAAAACAACCTCATCCATAATTTGAACTCGGCTCGATGATTTCACTTTGTTCCAATAATCGTTACATCCGAAATACTGGATTTTTGAAGATTCTTTTTCACATGAATATTAAATCGGGATCTGCAAATCCATTCTTCTGCAATTATAAGGTGGTGTTGAAGAATTTAAAACCCTACCAAAAAGGAATTCAAAATAAAATTCTGATGTTTTGTTAGAATTTAGTAAGTAGGTTGAACTAAGATCAGTGTAGTACTACCACATATATGATAACCAATATTGTTTATTTGTCTCGAGCATTACAGCAACAGAACATTTTTTTAAATTATCCCCCCCCAAGTAAGGCGATAATACCACTAAGATGTTATAGTTTACTGGGATTAGGAGATAATGTGAAAACTTTAGTGAGGAGAAAGGACAAGAAGACAGAAAATTGTGATTGACATTACATTTAATCTTTTTGATGTTTATAGGTGGCGGGGAAGCAAGAATTTGGAAGAGTGTTTCACAGACGAGAAGTGCGAGAAAAGGAACTTACGGTTGCATCAAATTATTTCAGCAATTAAATGATGAGACTTAGTTGTCATTCTAGAAGTACGCTTAAATTCAGGAGGTCAAGGTAGGAAGGAGGAGGAGGAAGAGCTCATCAGAAAGGATTGTCATGAAAATATTTATGGAAAAGACAGAGTGACGTCACGTGACAGTGGTGGTGAAAGTGACTGAAGTCGAGATGCCAGGTCAGGGCCGATAACATTACAGACTCCTTCTTTACAAAAGAAATGGGACAAAACATGCTGATTGTGTGAATGCCACCCAATCTTATGAATCATGGCATCGAAAAAGTAAGACTTATACAGTTTCAAAGATTCTCTCTATCTATCTATCTCTCCCTCCTCTCTCTCTCTATCTATCTCTCCCTCCTCTCTCTCTCTCTCTCTCTCTCTCACACACACACACACACATATTATGCAGCCGAGATATTTTACAAGTTCAGATTGGATTTCACTAATCCAAATAGATTAGGCACGAACAGGTTTCCGAAGGACTATTGATTTAAAAACTCGAAAAATAAACACCATAAAAGTCCTGATTTATTATTTCAATTAAATCTTTGTCAAGTTAACGGTATCACTTTTTGCAAAGTTGATAATCTCGTATTAACGAGGCTCCTGAAGCATTATATTCTGAATTATTGAAGCTTACCAGCGGAAATATAATTTACATTAATCATGATAAAAAATTTGCCTTAGTTTGAAATCTAGGATTTTCTTTCTCGCTATCAATAAATGTAATAGCAAAAAGACCCGTTGAAACCTTTCTGTCGCCAGTCTGCTGAATCGTCACTATCTAAAAACAACAAAGCCTTCCTGGGAGATCGAATTACCTGAGTGGTGATTCTATCGTCGCTAATCACCAATGATACGCGTCCAGGCTCACCAACCTAACCTCCATGTTCTTGTGACCTTGTTGGTGAGATTTTGTAGGTTATTCGTCCATGACTTATGTAAACAAGATTTTGATAAATGCTTTCACGTTAGGAAAAAGAAAAAAATGCCACTCGAAAATGAAAAGGAGTGAAAGGTTTTGTATTTAAGAAAAAATCAACAAAGGAAAATTCATTTAGATCGACTGATTGATTAGTTAATCATTACTTTTGGAGGCTACTCTATTTTTTTACTTGGATTTTTATAAGATTAAGAGTGGATCATTAATTGTGAATCTGAAGTGGATAGTGGAAAGGGAATGAATGAAAAAGAAAGTTTTGTGATATTAAGTGTTGAAAGAAAGAAAGAAAGAAAGAAAGAAAGAAAGAAAAGAAGAGAAAAGAAAGAAAGAATGAAAGAAAAGAAAAGAAAAGAAAAGAAAAGAAAGAAAGAAAGAAAGAAAGAAAGAAAGAAAGAAAGAAAGAAAGAAAGAAAGAAAAGGAAAGCAAAGGAAAGAAGAGAAAAGAAAAAGAAAGAAAGAAAGAAATAGAAAAGAAAAGAAGAGGAAAGAAAGAAAGAAAGAAAGAGAAGAAAGAAAGAAAAGGAAAGAAGAGAAAAGAAAGAAAGAAAGAAAGAACGGGAGACGTTGGAGAAGAAACGTAAAGAATATAAGAGAAAGAAAAGTAGATAAAGAAAAATAAAGTGGGGAGAAGGAAAAATGAAAAGAAACAAGACAAAGATCGGTAGCAATGGTGGAGGTGGATAAATACAAAAGAAAGAAAGAAAGAAAGAATGTGACCTGATATACAACACTCCAAGAATTGCTTTTCACAGAAGCACGCAATTCAACCAAAGAATGTTTTCCTAAGATTTTGCATCAGACGTTAAAGAAAATATTTTTTGGATGCGCGCAGAAACATTTCCACCAGAAAAAATTATCTTTTAATGAAACTTCCAGATAAATGTTTAAAAACTGAGGAACAATTGTAAATAAAAACAACAAAGATGAAGATCCTAGTCTGAAAAATATGTGAAATTTCCAAATCGAGTATGTACAAAAGTTCGTACCTGTATATGTGTTTTTGTGTGCATGTATTCTTCATAAGTGTCTGTCGGGATACAAAAGATGACCATCTTCCTTTGGTGGAAATAGTGACGAAAGTATCAAACGGTCAAGTCTTACAATCAGTTATCATGAAGGAGTCAAAACAATCTGTCGATTTTTTATTCTGACTCTGCCTCCTTCAGCACATGGTGTAGCTTAAAACCTAAGGCGCCGTTTTCCTATTGAAATATATCTTCTCCAGGTATAGAAAGAAACTAACTCCGGCTCTTTGTGAAATATGTCCTCCCTAATGACATAGCAGATGAATCTGGTCCGCTCGAATATGGAATCCTAAATATGGCTTCTCCAGAAACACAGAAGAATCTCCAACGTTGCTAATTCCTGTTGGGAATTATTACACGTAAAATTATCTTTTTTTCTTCTCTCACACTGCTTGTTGTATAGATACGTGTCAAATTTTCTCTGTGTGGGACACGTTTATATATGTATATATAATTTTGTGTATGACTTAACATTATAAAATATTCTCCCAGAACAAAAAATGTTTGTAATTCCTTTTTCTTTCAGCCATTCTGTTCCCTTCGTTAAATACGCTGTTTATATCATGTTTATAATAATGCCCATAATGGGGGAAATGAAAATGGGAGAATAAAGTTTTCTTCCACAGCGTAACCATTATTTGGGTCAACCTGACGTGACATGATATTATTAACCCCCATTATTTGGTGACCCCGACGTAATATGTTATTATTTACTTCCATTATGCCTATATGAATACACATGTTATTGCATTCTCAAATAATGTCTTATTCTATGGGGTGAGTAAAAAAGGATGCGAGACATGCCTGAAGACTGCCTTTTGATGATGAATGACGATTTAATATTAACCCCATCATCAGATACGAACTGGTGAATGATGGCCTATTACAGTTGTTTTTTTTTTTTTTTGTTGTTTTTTTAAATACTGGGTCTCATAGCAGGAGCGCTAAATCAAATGCAGATTCAAAGCTCAAAGTTGATTATTGGGGTCAAAATACAAAATGTACAGTGTAGATAGGGGGTCTATTGTAAAAAGAAAAAAAAATGCAAACTTAAAGTTCAAATGAGAAACGCCGTGTAACTCATTAAGTATTAATAGACTCTTAAATAGTTAAGGGGGGGTAATCAATATGTAACCTAAAATATGTAAAGGACATGTGATATTTGGATAATTTATCTATCCAGAAAGAAAATCCTTTAAGAGAGTTTTTTTTCTGTGATTACACGCTAACATTAGTTCATTTCGTTTATTAAATAGATTTCGGTCATTAATATTTTTGAGGATGAATCTTTTTTTTTCTCCATCAAACACAGGTTGCATCGGTCACCGCAGCCGGAAAAGGGTGCAGTTTTGGCGACGAAATTCAAATTTACTACCTTAGTATGGTCACCTGTTTTAATATCCCAGTAAAATTTTGAGAGCGCCGTGGCATTTGCATATTGCTTATTGTTAAGAGCCTTTTTATGGTGATAATTTCGGGTTTTCCATTGGTTGGCTGTGGAACCGAAATAAAATTTTATATCGCGTCCCTCTTCTAAACTTTAAGCTTGGATCTTTTTTTTTTCTTTTACAATAGCCCCCCTACCTACACTCTACATTTTGTATTTACACCCCAATAATATATTAAGTTTATATTAATTTTCAGCTTTGAATCTGCTTTTAATTTAGCCTTCCTCCCGTGAGACACAGTATTTTTTGTAAATGAACAACTGTAATAGGCCTTCATTCACCAGTTCGTACCTGAAGAGTTGGTAAAACCACGAAGCTTTAAGTTGCACTACGAATGTACGTATATGTATATTTATTAATGTATACTTCTTAGCTCTGTCTAACCACATTGAGCATTGTCTTGTTTAAACCTTAAATCAAATAAAATAAATATTTATTCGCTTACCTATGTATGTACGTTAACGACGTATATACAGTTGCTAATATCTAATTATTTGGTTTATATCCACATTTATACACACACACACACACACACACACACACACACACATATATATATATATATATATATATTTTGTCTCGCTAAAACTGTTACGACTGAATAGTGAGTTCGATCCTCACTGAGTGCTCCAAAGTCTTGGCCATGTGCCACATCTAAGCTATGCTTAGAAAATCATTTAGGAATATCGAGGTGGTGTAATGGTTAACAAGCTTGGCTCGCTAGAACAATTTAGTAGTAGTGAGTTCTATCCTCAATGGGTGCCACATACTTTCGGCCTTGTGTCACATCTGAGCTACGCTTGGAAAATCACTTTGGTAACTTCAACGTGGTGTAATGGTTAGCAAGCTTGTCTGGCTAGATCAATTACGACTGAATAGTGGGTTCGATCCTCACTGGGTGCCCCATACTTTCGGCCTTATGCCACATCACATTTCGGGGCATCTCGAGGCGGTGTAATGGTTAACAAGCTTGTCTCGCTAGAACAATTACGAATGAGTAGTGAGTTCGAGCCTCACTGGGTGCCCATACTTTCGGCCTTGTACCACATCAAAGCTTCGCTTGGAAAATCGCTATATACATATGTCTCAGCTTACTATCTATTAGTCGCTCTGCCTATGTATCTTTATCTATCTCGATAGATTGATAGGAACAGACTGATATATATATATATATATATATATATATATATATATATATATATATATATATATATATATATATATATATTAGTAATGAATGTGTGAATGCTTATGTAGTCAGTGTTGGGGCATTATTAACCTGAATCCATGTCTATGCACGTACATATTCGATTTAATATGCACATATCAATTGATACAAAGTCTCCGGAATCTCAACCAATAACTGATCGAATATTCATTATTTGTATGGCCGGAGATTTGCTAGTCACGTGGAAAGTGACTCGAAAGAGATGTAATCCCTAAGCGTGAAATCCATTCTCAGTGCTGCCTGGATTGATATAATTGCATCTCGGTCGGCCATACTCTAAAGTTTCTTCACCTGAAGGTTTAAAAATACAAACACTCGGCACGTGACTCCAACAGAGAGCTTTATCCACAGTTGCTGTCGAGTTTTTTTTTTTTTCTGTAGCGTTTTATCGCATTAAAATAACTTAATATCTACTAAACAAAAAACAGTTGAGTGAAAGTATGTCTGTAAGCTTTCAATGTGCTACAATATGTGATTTATTTTCCCTGATTGAACGTTTGACACAAGGTTCAATTAAAGTGGAAGCCAACATACGTACATTCAGTTTGGGGTAGAGATTATCCAGTTTCTTCGGCATTTTCCTTTTGGGACGACTCAGGCAGTAAGAATTGATTTTGACCCGACACAATTAATTCCAATGGAGAGGTACTGAAAGTTAGCATCGATTATTTTTCTGCTTTGGGATTTGTAAAAGAATTGTGTCCTATTGGATGGTAACTGTCTTACCCGTAATTATAATGGATGGTGAACAAAAACAGGGAATTGTGGGTAGAAATGAGGCTATATGAGTCAGTGAGAAATTAGTTGGTAAGAAGACTTGATCAAGCATCAAGACCTCTCGAACTCTCTGCCTTTAGGCGTCGAGGAACCCAGACGAGGCTATGCAAAAGGGAAGAGTGTCGTCTAGGGAGGCAGACAAACCTGACCGTGTGTATGCGGTATCTATGAGGAAATTTTGCCCAAGTCTACGGGCTCGGTCCGCTCCGCATAAAAAAAAAAATCGGCTTAGTGCCTCACTTCGTGCCTCGTGGTGAGGTCGGGTCAATATCAGCCTGATCAAGTATCAAGGCTAATTTGTCGTACTCTCTGCTTTCGGGCAGTGGGGAACCCAAACGTGGCTATGACTACGGGCAGACTCTCATCTAGAGAAGTACACAAATCCAATCCCATGTATGCGGGGTGTAAGGGGAATTTTTGTCCGAGCCTATGTGGTCTGATCGCCCCACATCTAAATCAGCCTTGTGCTACCTGCTTGCCACGTGGCGAGGTCGTGTAAATACCGGCTTCATCAATTATCAAAACTTACTTGTCGATTTCACTGTCCGAAAGCAGTGAAGGACCCAGACGAGGCCAGGCCTACGAGCAGAGTCTCGTCTGTTGAAGTAGACAAACCCGAACCCTTGTATGCAGGGTCTACGCGGAATTTTTACCAGAGCGTACGGCAAAGAAACTTGACAAACCAACCAACCACCGATGCGCAGTGAAAGAGGGAGAACGAAGCAAAGCAAGAGAAAAAAATTCTTTTACCCCCTAAAACCACCGAGGGGTGAGGGACGAATAATTGGACAAGAAATTCATTTTCTTTACTTTTATATATTTATTTTTGGATTTACGATTTCAGAACAATAAACTTCGCTATTATAACCAAGTGATTGTAACCAATGTTACACCAAAAACAGGTAAATCTTTGAAGAGCCACGATCGCCAACGACATTAGCTGAATATGTTGCGTAGAAAGATAAAGAGTGATTCTATAAAGTTTTTATTTATTACCATTGATTTAATTTTAATTAAATTCAATTTAATTTCTTGAAATGCCTGTTTTTTTATTTCTTAACTCAACTTTTTCTTTAACTCTAATCGACTTGATAAACTTTTCGTTAACTCTAATCGACTTGGCAAACATTTTTCATTCATAGCAACAATTGGTCTTAATCTCACATGACTCAAACTCTCTCACGACAAACTTGCTGACTATTATTCGAAATTAAACATTTATCTATACTCACATGTGCT